ACAAGCTTGAGGAAGTGGGAATATATGGCTTAAGGACTAAGTGACACTTGGAGATTAATTAGGAACTTTAGGGATGACTAATCCCTCTCATAATCCTCCCCAAAGTGACACGTGCCATTACTTAATGAGAAGGAAATATACTTCCTTTATACTTAGGAAATTACTTACCAAATTTGGGAAAAATATATTGCAAATGTCCGTACGGCTTTAACCCTTAAGCTCATGATTAATTATTAGATAATCACATAATTATGTTTAATTATTTAATTAAACATAATGCTTAATTACCTAAATTATTCCGAACGTAAACGGTACGTCGAAAATAATTTCCGGTAATCTCGACTGAACTGACTGAAAATAATTAATTCCAGACTCATTAATTAATTAAATGAATCCGAATTAAATCTGGAAACGTATTCGGTTACTAAATAAATTAAACTGAATAACTTATGGACTAATAGTCGGATATAGAATATAACTGACTGATTAACCTGATCTTGAACATGAACATGACTATTTATTAATAAAGGCTAGCTTAAAACTAAAAGCTAGTATTTCCTTTATTAATAAAATACGGGGCATTACAATCCACCCCCCTTAAAATATTTCCGTCCTCGTAAATACTAAAACTGAATGAACAAGCTTAACTTAAAGCTTTTACTTACTGATTACATGACTTGAAAATTCTGTACTTTAATACTGAATAATAGACTTGATCTGAACTGAGGAGTCATCAATTCACAATTGAGTGAATTGTTGATTACTACTGACTGAGAATGGACACTCTCCTGAAATAAAGTGTTCCACTGATAAAACATGATCTCAAAACGAAACTCTGAAGCGTATTGGTCATCCTCTCCTGACTGCTGGCTGATCTCCAGTCTGAACGCTGGTTGTGAAGTCTCCAGTCGTTGGTACACACGGAAGATTCCAGAGATACACATATGTACAAATGAAGATAACTAGCTATATTGGTAATTACCTTTCATGAATGTCTGCTTGACAACGCGGCACATCGTTCGCGGCACATTGTAATGCGGCACACCTGCTCCTCATCAAGTGAGTGTGGCACGCCTGCATACAGCACCTGGCGAACATTGCACCTGCGTCGTCGACGTAATCTGATCGCATCTATACCTCAAGCTAGTAACCTCAATGTACTTTAATACTAACTCTCTCTAATCTACCAGTGTACTGTGACTCAAGCATGGCATCTTGGAGTGGAAAGCGTTGGTTTGTCATCATGACACGATATGTTGCTATCGATTGGCCCTTCTTCGTCGCGGCGTGTGCCTTCCTGTGGTACCTGCAACTGTTTACTTCCTCCGAGGTTAAACTTAACCTCAGGAAGAAGTCCATCATGAATGACTATCTCCCACGATTTCTCAGATTCATCAGAATTTGAGAATCGAGGCCCTGATTATACTGAAAATGCTAAATAAGTCTTGTCTTATTAGACAGACTATCCTCGATCTTGACATGACTGGCTTGAATATTTCATATAACTTAATAACCATGACTTGATTCTAACATGACTGAAACTATCCCGAGACAACTAAATAGTCGCTTCGGAATAGAAAACGTGATATTTACGGACTTACTTGACTTGGTAAGGTGCGACTTCAAGTTTCCAGGTAAATTTGGACTAATGGTCTGTATATCAGATCGCCACATTTAACCCGGCTGAACAACTATTATACGTCGACCTTACATCATGAACATAAATTGGAAATCGTGAACATGAATTTATAACTCTGTACTATATAAGGCTGCTCCAGTATCAACTGATCCCGCAAATACAAAGTAATTAGCTGATCTTGATCTTTGAAAATCATAACTTGAAAGATCATGACTGATAAAATATCTGACATGACTGACTTGAAAGGTTGTTATTACAAGAAATCATACTGCTCCAGTTTCAGCTTCAAGCCTCCATGGTATACCTGGCTGAGTGGCTATTATTTCAAGCCTCCATGGTAACCCGGACTATTGACTCTTATACACTGGAAACCGTTACCTTATCACTGACTTGAGAATTATAACAACCTTTACCATGAAAATTTTTGCCCTGAACATGATTTACTGACCTGACTTAAGAAATTTGAGTCTATTCCTCGAATTGAATCAAGGAATTTCTCCCTGAAATCTGCTAATTGATTGGCAAAATGGCAGGTTTCAATAGAAATATTTGAGAAACGTGATTATTAAGATTTGTTTAGCATAAGTGCTTACAAATCTCCTGACAAGTTGCTAACTTGACTTGAATATATCTAGAATTAAATCTAGAGTTTTTAACTCAGTCCCTTTCTAAGGATATGAATCCACTCGTCCACGATACGGGGATATCCCTGCCCGGATAATTTCTCAACATGATAGTCGCGGAACTATGCGACTACTGTGGCATGAGTAGGAGCCGGGTGATCGGGTTCCCTACGGGGCGACATCTGAACATTGAGAAAGCTCAAAATTATTGAACACATGATAATATTCTGACTGATTGCTAAGGCACACAAATTTCTTGACGAGTTGCCAAAAGTGGCCAATAATTACTGACATGATTCCTGAAGAACTCTAGAGTCATCTCGGAAGATACTAAATTCTAGAGTCATGAATATACTGAATTCTAGAGTCATATCTGAACTCTAAAGTCTGAATCTGATTCGAGCATCTTAACTAAGTCTGACTAATAATTTCTGAGCATAGACAGAGTAATATGTTTATAACTGAAAACTGAATCAGCATTTACCTGTAGTCGGAGGGGTGTGAGCGTGACGGTTCAGGTTTTTCTGAAAATTATTGACTGAAAAGCTTTTCAGAGACGCAGAAACGTGCTATGATACCATTTGTAACACCCCGACTTTTTAAAACTATCAGGGTACGCATTTTTCGCAATTTTTTTGAATAAATAGATAAAATATTATTTTGCGAAAACTGATTCAGGGTGCTACCGTGAGAACTTGACTTTTCTGAAAACCATTAAATTTTTTAAACTGATAAATAAACGGTTATATAAAGTATTAACCGATTAAAGCCAGATCAAAAGCTAAAAATAAGTACTGATAGGTTTAGCGGAATAACAGCGTGGCCAAACATTATATACATATCCATAAATATCCTGAACTGCCCGTCTGCTCACTCCTCGTCCCCGACTTTCTGACCTGAAAAACATGAAATATGTGGGGGCGTGAGCACTAAGGCACTCTGCTCCGCAGAAACTCAAACTAAAGTAAAACAGTGAATATAATAACAATATCATGATCCTGGCATATATAACTGAACTGCACTGAAACCGAAACTGATATCTGATACCGGTCTGATCTCGCGATATAAGTCACGTAACTGATAACTGAACATCTGCCGGCAAAAACTAATACCGGACACCATGTGCACACTCTATTGGGCAGATTAAGGCCACTAGAACCTAGAATGGACCGACGACCATTCCGAG